TTACAAAATCATTATCAAGGAAATAAATAATTAACAGTAATAACAAAGTATTCTTACATATCTCAGTTATGTATCTCCCACATATTTACTATCTTCTCAAGAACAACCTAAGGATAATTATATCATTATGTCTAATTTGCAAAAGAGAAAATTGAAATCTAAGGAAGATAATACTCATACACTTGAGTAGGTTCTCAGGAGAATAAGTGACTACCCAGGAACTGGAACCCTCATTTTCTGACTCCACATGCAGTGTCCCTCTTCTGGTCTTTCACAGGGGAGCACACAGGGACACAGTGGGGACAATGACCTGATTACTCAGCCTCTGACCTTGTTTTCCGGAATCATGTACCTTGCCTTTCAAATGTCCCAATAGTTAGCATCTTACCAATGGACTCCTTCAAGCTGATTCTAATTTTCTTTTAAACTGACTCCAAGTATATACAAAATAAATCAAAGGTGAGGTGGTTAACACCTGTGACTGTTTGGATCACACACTGGCCCGGTAGATTGCAACCTTTAGATACAATCACAGCATCTCTTGGCAGGTCAAAGAGAAATGAATTAAATTATTACTAAATTATTATTAAATTATTAAATAATATAGCTTCAGAGTTTCCAATAGAGCCTGCTTAATGCCAATATTTAGGAAAAAAAAAGTATTTCTATCCTCCAAAATACCTATGTAAAAATCCTATAACCAAACTTGTGTAATAAACTAATATATACACACATACATGCACACATACATGCACCCCTACACATACGTACACATACATATATGCACAATTACATATATATTCATACACACATATAAGTGTATATGCAGAAAATAAACACTTTGATTCATAATTTATGAGATAACTGAATTCAAGATTAATTTGGAAGATTTTTTTTTTAATGCCAAAATAATGTGTGAAAGGTAAACTTCTTTACCCATATCTTGGGTCCAAAGCAATGGCCCTGGGATGTTCCATGGCTCCTGCTATGAGTGTAGCTCTTAAGGAACCATCTAGTTTGGCCACTTCGATTTGGTCCAGATTGCTGTCTATCCAGTATATGTTGCCCGCTATCCAGTCAACAGTCAGTCCTTCAGGGGTAGCCAGGCCATGCTCTACAACCACTTCAATTGCACTGACTCCTACAAGAAAAGAGAAACCAATAACTGTACCCATTCAAAGGAAAAAGGCTATTATTATCAATACAAAGGACGTAAACATTATATTAACTCTGAGAGACAGAGTACAAAAGTATTACCTGGCACAGGAGAAGCTAAAAAAGCCCAAAATGTAGAATTACTGATCTTTCTAAACAGAAATTTTTAATCTCTTAGGTTCTTTCAGTGCCAGTAGAACAGAATTTTTAAACAATTTTGAGGCTAATAACAATGTTCAAGTTACAAAACTGTTATTTCTTTCCTCTGAGTTTTTAGGCAGAATAAGGGATTTTTGGAATGATAATGATGTGCAAGTTAAAATTGGTGCAATTTAATTCAAATGCTGCTGCTCTTCAGGTGGAATAAAGACAAAAATTTCACCCGAGAACAGCACTGCAGCTAGTCAGATCCCACTGTTTTTAGAAGCATGATAGATATGATAGCTTTTGTTGCATTTATCCATAACAAAAATAAACCCCAAAATACACTCCCCTTACCCACCACCACAGGCCATGAGACTTGAAAGGTATAAGTTATTTGCAAATAAGAGAAGAAGGCCTTTAGTGGTGTCTAAATAAAAATAAGCAATTTGGTAATGTCCACCGATATCCTTATTCATTACTCCTTAGTTTCTTTCAGAATTAAATAAATATATACATATTTTTAAAACACCTTTTTCTCACAAGATAACTCTTCATAGTTTATGACATCACCAGTGATTATTATTAGACATTTTAATAGTGTTATTTTTAAACAGTTAACCATCTACCTAATCCCCTGGACCTAAATCCATCATTTGAAATCAACATCTTACAATAATGACATAGGACACAAATTCGTATAACTACATTGTATGTTTAAATATTGCAATTTTTCCAAAATTGCAAAGACTTTTTAAGGAGGAATTTAGAATTTTATAGAAACACCTGGCCCTTGAAATGCTACACAGATGTAACATTTTCAAGAGAAATATCACATATATTTATCTCACAGCCTTACCAATTAAGAAAGACCTAGATTAAACAAAAGAAACAAGTGTCAAAATATAGGGAAAAAATATTTAGCTCATATTAGTAGTCTCTGTAAAAATGTCCTCGTCATTTCTTTGAGTTATGCTGAAAGATTACAACAAAATAAAAAAATAAGCTATCTTAACTCACAAAAATATAACTACTAGCAAAAGACAGTCATTTTTAAAAAAAATATATTTCTTCATCTAAATCCATAGGAAAGTCCACAACTTGAAAATGGTGTGAAAAACATATGTCTTCACCACTCCCTTCCCCCAAAATATTTTCACACATATACATCCCTGGTTTTACATATATGAGGAAGAAGATAAAGAACAGGTAGTCAAAGATTAAACAAATTTCCTTTTTATTACAACATATTTTTCTAGAATTTTCAGTTAAAAATGAATCTAAACATTAAGATAATATTGTAACACATGTACCTCCACTTTCAGAAAGCTTGCCCCGGTATATTCTGTCTTCCACAACATCTGTCCAATAAAGTAAACTTTGATTGAAATGAAAATCAAGCGCTATTGTGTTTCTCAATCCAGGAACAAGTAGACTATAGTCTCTTTTATGAAGATCGATCCTTCTGATCTCATGGCGAATAGAGAAAATGATGAATGCCTCAAATGGATCTGAAATTAAATTTATTTTAATAAACGTATGAAAATGTTTATATACTTTGGTAAGTGGAATAAAATGCTTGAGGTCAAAATCTGTTCATTTCAAGGTGTAATTTATTGCCTAATACTCTGTCATTAAAGCAGCAATTTCTTTTAAATCCAAAATTGAAAAAAAAATCTTGAAAAACTTATGTTTATTTTAATGATAAAATAAGGTATACATGTGTTTTTCTTTCTTGGATTTTTATAACCCTGATTCTGATTAAAGAATACAAGAATTATTGCAATTTGAAGACAAAATGGAAGATTTTCTGTTTTCTTCATGTTTTAGCTGACAATCCAAACCTCAGAAACACAAAGGAAATTGCTAAGAGTTAGCTAAAACTAGCTCTACCACTATTAGCTCATCACATGTCTACAGGTTCATGAAGGAGAGAGATCCAACAAGAAGAGGATTTCTATGAAGAGTCATTGGGCTTAGTTAGGGAGGGGTCTCCATAGCAGCTTTCCCCACAGTTCAAGAATATATGACCATACTACTCCCCACTAGTTTTTTTTTTAAATTAAATTTATTGGGGTGACACTGATTAGTAAAATTGCATAGGTTTCAAGTGTACAATTCCATAATACATGATCTATATAGTAAATTGTATGTTCACCACCCAGAGTCAGTTCTCCTTCCATTACTATATATTTGATCCCCTTTACCCTCTTCTATTGTCCCCTTGCCCCCCTTACCCTCTGTTGTCTGTGTCTAGGAGTTTTTGTTTGCTTGTTTGTTTTGTTCATTTGTTGCTTTCAGTTTTATGTCCGCACTAATTTTTAAGCCTGACTCAGGCCTGAGTGGAGAGAAAGGGAAATACTTTGAAAACAGAAATGAGGTTAAAAGTTTTATATTTTCGTACTTACTTGTAAAAGAAAAAAAAAGTGTTTCAATACCTGAAAGTTACAAAAATTATGTCGTTATTTTATAAAATGTATCAAGTTCTGTATCAATTATTGTCTGCCACACTAACATGAACTCTGCAGATGAATACATTTTGAGGGAAGGAGACAGGATTGCAAAAATTCCCCCCATTTCCATGTTAGTGCCACCTCTCTGTACTTTTCTTTAGGGAAATTGGTTTTCCAATCCCAAGTCTAGACACACTTCCCGGATGTGAACTGCTATATCACCACTGTGATTGGCCCAGGGGGTGGAGGTAAGCTCTAAGGCTATTGGGTTTGTAAACTTGGAGAGAAGTTTTCAAGCTGAGGGCAGTGAGTCTCTTTTTCTCTAAGGTCACAAACCTTTAAGGCTAGTGTTGTTAGTGTTCATGCCCTTGTAGTTTGAAGTCTATTTGTGATTTCATAGAAGAAGAGGAAAAAGCCACAAAGAATGAAGCAGTGGGGAGAGACTATGATCTAAGGACATTCCCACCCATAGTTCCAAGTATCCCTAAAAATAGATTCTTCCTTCAAATCTCCTGTACACTTCCCATGCTTTGTATATGCAAGCCGATGAGCTTACCTAGTTAACTTAATTTGAACTGGGTTTCTGTCCACTGCAAACAGGTTTACTGTTCTCATTAATCTCATCTTCTCAGAGAGGTCTTTCCTGATCAGTTATCTAATAAAAGCCCATCTCCTTTACTGTATATCACCACAGCCTATTTATTCTCTTTGTGCTATATTTTAAATTCAGTATTTACATGTCTGTCATTTATTTCCTCACTAGATGATAAGCTCTATGAAAACAGGGACTTGTCTGTCTTGCTCATTCTGATGTCCCTAAAAACTAGCACCAACGGAAGACATTATTAAGTACCAGGTCTGAGGTTCAGAAGGGTGCGGACCTAGCCTGGCTACCCTTGGGGAAGGGGAGTCACCCTCAGGGTTTGTTTGTTTTTTTCACTAGACATGAATCTACTTGAGGAGGCTCTGCCCAGCATATTAACTAAATGTGTTTTGGATGAATACATGCAGAGAGAAACTAAATGCATCTTAAGAAACCAGCTAAAATCTAACATGGGAAAGAGCCCTGACATGATAAGCAGAGCCATCTACTAGAGCTGTGGCTGCCTGCATAGTATAAGTAAGTCCAGCCAAGACCACAAGAACTGCTGAGAAGGCCTGAGAACTTGTGAGCAAAAGTTATGTGTATTGTTGGGATCACTTAAGTGTCACAGACATTTATTGCATAGTATTGGAAGTTTATTGCACATTACTGTGACACTAGCTAACAGACACAAGATGCCAAAGATGTTCAAAATAATTAGTTTCAAATAGTTCCCAAGAGAACAAATACTCAGAAAACTTAAGACCCAGAATTTAGCAATTTTAATGTAAAGAAAATGATTCTGTTGGATATACAGCTGTTTAAAAGAAAGATACCTGATTTTTAGATCAGGACCCCTGGCTTGATTCTCTGCTCTGGCTCTGAAACAAGTGTTTGCCTTTGAAAAATTCTTTATCTTTTTAAGAATTAAGTGTTCTTACCTGTAAAATGGAATTAATGATAACCTACTTGCAATTGCTGCTATCAGCCTCCAATTAAATAATGTATGCTAATTTGTTTTATATCCTGAAAATCATCACAGTAAATACAAATGTGGAAGCAACTGCGATGTAGTTCAAAAGCATAGGCTCAGTGTCAGAAAAGGCACATTTGACAGAGCTCTGCCACCAACCAGCTGTATTAATTAGAGTTTACTTAAACACTGATACTCAACGCTTTTTGATTTATAAAATGTATAACATACTTAGGTATCAAGATAATTCATAATTAAAAGTGTGAATACTTAATAATATCTAAACATATCTTCAATTATTATTAATATTAAATTCCAAAGATTACTCAAAGGAATAAGCAAAAGAGAGATTGCTTAAGAGAAAGGCTGGAGAAATGATGCACCAAAAGGGAACTAGTCACATCAACTGTGAACAGCTCCCCCACCCTTTGACTTACAGTTTGCCCTTGTCAAGTACTAAATTATAGGTGTAGCAGCAATGTGCTAAAAAAAATTTATATTTAATACCTGCTAAAGAACATATAGTTTTAAAATTGCAAGATAATGAGGTGCTGCCTTTTCCCTAGGATGTCACACCAGAAGAAGAAAGGAATCCAAAAGTAAAAAAAAATAATAAAAAAGAAGAAAAGAAAAAATAAATGCAAGTTCCACCTTTAACAACACTAGAATACATCTATTACCAAAATACCACAGTATGAGAGGAAAGGCTGATGAACGCATTCAAAACCCAGAAAGGTTCTGAGAGGATGCCTGCAGCTGTAGACTATATATATATAATATATATATATATATATATAATATATATATATATATAATATATAATATATATATATTATATATATATATGTATGTATATACACACACATATAATTATATAATCTACATCTATTTTAAATATATCTAAATATTATAGATATATAATATTATATATATAATGCTGGTAGGGCACACTTCTCAAAGGAGGCAGCACAGCTAAGAGCAAACCCCACTTTTTGAAGAAAATGGAATGGAAGTAACATCCAGGTCTCAGGACCTTCTCTGAGCCCACTGGCACCATAGAGACCCAGGATTCAGAGGGTCTGAAGGAAAAAACAGGCACGCAGGATGGTAAGTGAAGCAAACCAGGATGAACGACTACGTACTATATGATTCCATTTCTATGACTTTCTGGAAGGGCAAAACAAGAGAGATAAAAACAGAACAGTAGATGCCAGCCACAAGGAGTGGGAAGAGGGCTTGATTACAGATTTTTAGACAAAAATCACTAGCCTTCCTATCAACAACA